TAGCTCACTTGTTTGAAAACGTTGCTATAGACTATACTGTAATATTTTTACTGAATTCCTACTCTTACTGAAGTACAATAGTATTCTATTATAATACGTAACTACGTATATACCTCATGATTAAAAAAATTCTGTAAAAAAAAATATTTTTTAAAAATTCGTATTAAACCATATATTGATGTTTGTTGATAATTTTTGAATAATTTCGAATATTTTTAAATATTTTTAAGAGAATATAATAAGAATATTTAAAGGTTTTTAAAGGAATATTAGCATCATATTTAAGATATTTTTAGAGAATATAAATTCGGTCTTTTATTATTAGCTTATAAATTGTTTATTCGATATTTTAATTATTCCGAATGTGTATCAATGCTTTCGGAAAATTATTTTTCAGGATATATAACTTTGTTCGAGTTAAAAAAATATTACTCTAGGGTAATGGTGGCCAAACTTTTTTTTACCTCGGGCCATAAAAAAATGTATTTTCAATTTTTTTTTTATGTAAATGTAAAATATTACAGTTACGCAAATAAGTGTTGTAACGTAGAATACTTTCGCGGGCCAGATATTGAATGATGGCGGGCCGTAGTTTGGCCACTACTGCTCTAGGGGTACATAAATACGTAAATGATACATTTTTATATATTTTACCGTATCTATTCCAACAATAAACATGTCTAATGAAAGTATCTGTGCTAATTTTGGATTTGATGGGTCTAAATTCAGAACTCTTTGCAATAAAGATGATTGATTGTTAGATCGAAATGATTTTTGAGATAATAGTTGTTCCAATGATTGATTTATATGTTTGGATGTCACACTATTAAATACAATAAAATATCAAATATTAACAATAGATAAATATAATTTTAAATTCGTGATACCAAAAAAATAATTTATATTACAGGCACTTATTGGAATATAATATTAATCATAATTAGATAGATAAAACAAATTGTTTGATAAATGATACAAATCACTCCATGAGTATTGTAGATTTGGCAGTATAAATTTCGGTTCAAGTAAATTCTTACTTGGTTATAGTATCCAATGCTTTTATATACTTTCTCCAAGTTGGTGTACTAAATAGTTTCCAAAATGGTATTTTTAACTCCAACTCGGGAACATTAGCGAAAAATATGTTTATAGCATCAATTAAATTTTGTGTATCTGAATCTACTGTGTGTTCATCTTCCAGACATCCAAGCTTTTGATCTAAAGCTACTCTGGCTATAGCTAAAAATATAACAATATTAATATTTTTATAGAAAATCATTTTAAATATCTACTTACATTCAAGTGACCATTTATGAATTTCATTTAAAAAATCATCTGGAACTTCTTGATTTTTATCTTTTATCTTTTTTATTCTACAAAAAAAATTTTTGTTACAATACTTAAAATAATTAATAATAACTAATACTTTAATATAAATAAATTATATAAAAAAAAATTCATAAGCCATTTAATTAATACTGTTGTTATAATACATTTTAAGTTTGAAAAAATGTTGGTGAATTTAAACTCTATCATATCATACATCATGATTTTTCTATTATAATGTTTGATATATACAATTAATTTATATAAATAGTTTAATTTCAATGCCCATTAATAGAAAATATAATAATAATTCGCTAACCTGTTGACAAAAGATATTGCTGTATCTTCAATAGTTCCAATATAAAACTTTGCTGTCCTTGGCTGCAGCATAGGTTGTTGTACTTTAGTTCTGAATTCATACCATTTTTGACCATGTCTAAAAGGTAAAAAACCATTAGTGAAATTCAAAATTTAATACTCCTTCGATAAATCATTATAGTAGGTATATAAGTGATTGGTACATAGTTTTTCGGTCCAGTGATTGAAGTACTACTTTCACCTAAACAGATAGGTACGTGACCTAAAACTAGTCATCAATATTTTACATAGGTACACACAGTTATGTATCTAATTTATATATATATATATATATATATATATATATATATAACATGGGTAATACATTTTTTCAAGATCATAATTTTATAATATTATAAAATAATGCATAAACATACACAGCTATAACACCGGCTAGTTCACCGAAAAAATCTTTTCTTAACACGTGCTTGTAATAATTTAATGATGGCATAGATGGTCGGTGTGGCATGAGCTCTTCGTTTCTGAATACTTTTTCAATCTCATCTGCATTATACAGAAATACCATATCTGGTCTTCCAAGTATTTTTTCGATTTTCACAATATCTCCATAGTTTTTCCATAACCTCAGTGAAAGTTTATCAATTTCAGCAACTTTGTAATCACCTATGTTTATACAAACGTACAAAATTAGAACAACAAATACAAATAACTAATAGTTTATGGATTTCTAACTATAAGACTGATGGTATTGGCTGGTTGAAGAAATTAAAAACTATTTTTAATTTCATTGGCGGCACCATTATAGAACTTATGATAGAGATTAGAAACCAAGTGCTATTAAGGTCGATTCACACATATCAGTCACGTGACAGTGACGTCTTCGATCAGAGACAGTTAAGTTACCAACGATTTTGACTTATCAGTCATGTATGTTTCACACATATCAGTCACCGAGATCGGTCAGTTCCGAGATATCGGGTCAGTTGTGTTGAGTCTGATACCACGTATATTTTATACACATTACTTATAATATTTTTTGATTATTTATTTATTTTAATAATAATAATTAAATAATACTGTGTATTAACTACGTCAATATGGCAAATTTTACTGACGAAGAACTGTGTATAGTTGCAATAATTTTGGATGAGGAAACTGAGTTATTAAATCCGAAGAAACGAAAATGGGTGCATGAGGCATGGCAAAAAAGAGAAAGTGAAGGAGAGTTCTTGACATTATACAAAGAATTGATTGAAGATGAAACTAAATTTTATCAATATTTTAGAATGTCTGAATATTGATTTAACACATTACTTGATAAAGTCTATGTATATTTAAAGAAAGATACGCATTGAAGAAAAGCTATAACACCAAAAGAACATTTAGCAGTTTGCTTAAGGTGAGTTAAAAATTACTTAATAATAAAAATAAAAATTATAAATTAATTTATATTAAAATTTACTGTATAGGTAGGTAGGTACTATTTTAATTTTTCAAATAAACTTAATATAATAACAATGGTAAATCATTTTATTACTACTAATCAGATTGATAATTTTGATAAAAATTTTGCACGTTCTGGAATGATGGTGATGAGGTATTTTGATCTATTGGAATTGTTCATTGAATTCTTCACAGGGTGATGGTAATGGAGTGGTTGATGGCATTGATGATGTAGAAGATGAACTTTGACTAAATATTTGTTGTAGTTTATATTTTTGAACAACAGCAAAAATTTCTGACTTTGTTAAGTGTAAATTGTAAGAAGAAAGGGTTTTTAAAGTTGGAGCTATACCAAATAAAAACGCATCAACTGGATGTTGCAAATCTTTGGAAGTTTGGTTTTCTTTTTTTTTTTTTATTTATTAAATAGTCCATCAATTTTGAAGCAGCAGTTGGCTGAGAAACTGAACACTTTACAAATTTGTGTTTTGAGGTTCTTATTAGATTTTCATTGGTTTGTACCGAGGTGAGAGATGGCTGACTTTGTAAATCTTCTTCAGGTAGTTGTTCCTCTGAATCTAGCTGCATATTTTTTTACTTTTCTTGGTCATTTTCAAATTCAATATTTGTTTTAGATTTTCTTTCCTCAAAATATTTGTTCATGAAACTGAGTTGATCTGCAAATTTATAATTTTTCATTTTTTTAGCACTTTGTCCACTTTTTTTTTTTTTTTTTTTTCAAAGACTTCTGTAAGTGTCACGGATATTATTCCATCTGGCTTTACGTGCTGAAACTAAAAAGACACATAACTAATTGAACTTTTTACCATAATAACAATAATATATTATATTAAAAAATTAAAAAATGTATATGATTTTAAATTATTAAAATAATTGACTGAGATATACTAATTTTTACAAAATGCTTATAATGATAGTTTAAAATAATAATAATAAAAAAATATTTAAAGAAATGTACAATCTATTTTTTTATATTTTTAGGTATTTAGCGACGGGAGATTCTTTACATACAATATCTTTCAGTTACCGTTTGGGACATAGCACAGTACAACAAATTGTAAACGATACTTGTAGGATTATATGTGATGTTTTGTTGGCTGAAATGATGCCAAATCCTACAGAAGATATGTGGAAATCTATTGCTAATGACTACAATACAATTTGGAACTTCCCGAATTGCGTAGGTGCGTTGGATGGCAAACATATTAACATTCAAGCTCCTCCAAATAGTGGGTCGATGTACTTTAATTATAAGAAGATGTTCTCAGTCGTCTTGATGGCCCTCGTTGATGCTAAGTACAATTTTATTGCTGTCGATGTTGGCACATACGACAAAAGTAGCGATGGTGAAATTTTCACACATTGTAATTTAGGTAAAGCTCTTGAGCGAGACAAACTACAAATACCACAAAGTGCAAAGTTACCTAACACATCTACTGAAGTTCCATACGTAATTGTAGGGGACGAAACATTCCCCTTAAAAACATATTTAATGCGACCATACCCACGACAATATTTGGATGTTTCTAAACGTATTTTTAATTACCGTTTAAGCCGTGCTAGGAGAGTGGTTGAAAATACATTTGGAATATTATCTCAGAAATTTAGAATTTACAATAGGAGGATTCAAGCAATCCCAAAAAATATAGATAACATAATACATGCCACCTGTATATTGCATAATTTTATTAAAAAATATGATACTAACACCTACAGTTACGAAAGGAATGAAAGTAACATTGATGGACCAAATGATAAAGTACTGGAAAACTTACCTATGCAAGGTGGTAATGCTACAAAGGATGCATTTCATGTAAGAGAAAAATTTAAGGATTATTTCAATTCAGAGTTTGGATCTGTTTCGTGGCAAGATGGGATAATTTAGAATTAACTATATGGATTTTAATTACTTTAGAAAGAATGATTATCTTGTAAAATATAAATATAAGTTTTTTTTTACTGTCTACTACTTTTATATTAATTATATTTTAATAACAAATATATTAATGTATTATTATATATTATTATTATACATTATGTATTATAATATAAACTGTTTTCTAATCTGAGCTAACGATAATATATAATATGATGTAAAAACACATGGTTGTATTTTATTTTCACGCTGCACTGGAATATATTTTATGTATACATAGATATTTTAAAATATATTTTACCGTCTGTTTTCAATTGTTCTGCAATTTTTTCCCAAATTTGGTTTTTATATGAGGTATCCATATATTTTGGATTGGACAAGTCATACAGTACTTCATACTGTCGAACATGTTCGATCAAATGTTCGTCGTCCATATTTTGCTTGTACTTTTGCCATCAAAACAAAAAACATCGTTGGAGAGAATTTAAAATTTCTCGGATCTGTGACTGAGGTATACTGACGGATCGAATTCGGATAGAAAACTGATGAGTGTAGATAACGCGATCTAAATTTAGCGAAGCGATATTTTCTCCGACTGAGACTGACCCGATTTCTCGAACTGAACCGTCTCGTGACTGATATGTGTGAATCAACCTTAAGTGCTTAGGTATTTTGCTCTTTCAGTGGTCATTTTTGTTTTGATCAATTAATAAATATGTTATTATTAATTAAATTATATTATTGTTTACAGATGTCAATATATATGAATAGGTTTACCTTTTTTTATTTTACTTTTATGATTTTAAGCCTATATAAAATGTCATTGAAAAATAATTTTAGTATACGTAGTAGTTGGTATCAATAGTCGTACAAAGATTTAAAAAAAACAATTATTTAAGAATTCTATACAAAACTATTATATTTTAACATCATTGATGTTAAACTTACCGATAATTGCCATAAATCTCCAACTATTTCCAAATAATGGTAATGCTTTAGGACCAGGAAGTTCCGAATATTCCTTAACAAAATCTACATCATCTTGTGATTTACTTGTAAACACAGTAGATTTAGCACGGCAAGTTATAACTCTTATATTCCAAAAACGTTTGAATAAAAAAGACATTGTCAAGTGTCAATGACCTGTAGAAAAAAAAAATAATCATAAATAGCTCACCGTGAATCAATATTTTTTTTATAAATATTAGTACCCCGCAGTAATGATGCGTTCATTGTTATGGAGTATATCAAAGGACGACAAACGTCATCAATGTGATATTTCTCCTACAGGTATCCTACATAGATAATGATAGCCTATTGTAAAGATCTGTTCACGGATGTTAGATATACTATGTTTCGTAACACATTTTTATTAGAAACCTTATTTCTCCTAGATTTTAGTTTATTTTCACGTGTAATTTACTGATCAAAATTGATACATTTTACATTATATTCACACGTAAATAATGTGGGTTGATTATTTTAAAACGATCAAATTGTTAAGATATATATATTTATATATAAATTTATCATATTATTAGTAAACCAATGTTCATGTTAAATAGGTTATAAAACAACCACTTTTTAAATATATTTTAATTATCAATACGTTTACAATGTTTATTTAAATAGTATTATCATAATTATAATATAATATTATAATAATAATTATTATAATTATAATATTATTATTATTTTTTAAACTTTTAAATACTCAATCATTCAAAAGTTTATAACATTAATATAAATAATTTGTTACATAAACTTAAAACAATTTTAATTCATGGCCTAGAAGAGTCAATGGTTTAAACATTTCTAATTTAAATCATTATTTGTTAATTTATTATATACTGTATAGTACACATATTTTTAAATAGGTATTCTATTATATGTAAGTAGATGATAAAATTGAAATACAATAGTCAAAAAATGTACATGCAACACAAAGTTTTTTACATACATAATAAGAACTTGCTATAAAAATATTATTTTATTTTATTAAATTATAATAAATTATCCCAAAATGAATTATTATTATATCCTATAATATATAGATAAAAATAAATCGTATAATGATTGCAAACTTAAGTCTTTATATAATTTATTATTTACATATCATAGACTTACTTGTTAATTTTAAAGAAAATTATACCATTATTATTTAAGTTCAGCTCGTTAACACTCAACAACTAATATTTAGTATACAAATAACTTATGATATTATTTCTTATTGTTAATATATTTCAATATATAATATATTTCAATTATATTTAAGAAATATAGAGTTACCTATATTATTTTTGTAAAACTCCCTTCAAAGCGTTGAAATCAACACAAAACGTACGAGAACAAAGTTAACAAAAATCACATGTTAATTGAAATTAACTTTATTATAATTAGTATCGTAGGTAAAAATGTTACATCGAAAGAATAAAAGAGGCACTAGACGACGGTTCGCAACTGAAGTTTAACGAAGTGGTCATAGTTTCAACCAACTGCGCAACGAACACTAAGCACACCTAAATTCAAACACGATACTACAGGTACAGTTATTGTGTAGTATAGGTAGGGTTTTCTCTTTCGTAAATTTGATGTGGCATGGATTAACTTAATGTTTATTTCATTATTTATACACAGACATACATGCATGCACTGTCATGCACTGATGTATATATATATGTCAGATAAACCTGTCCGGTATCCGGTTAAAAAAAAAAACGAAATTTGCAGTGAAAGGAAGATATTGCTGTAGAAAACACCTATAATTTCACGATTGTTTCTGCTATGCCCAGCGAATTTGACAATTCGTCCAGACGAACGTAGAGTCGTAGATTATAATTTCATAATATTTAAGATACGTAATGTGGAACTATTTTTTGATAAAAATTATTTATGCACAGAAATCTTATGTACAGTTTGGTACATTTTAACCAATCTTTGTTCAATATTTTACTAAATTATCCACTTATTTTTTACAGATACATAATATTTTTGCAGTAAATAAAATATGTACCACACGAAAACTTTAACTATATATCTTTTTATGAATGCTAAGGACTTCATGACCAAATAAATCTCTAAATATTCCCTAAAAATACGTAAAACGTTTACATGAAATGCATTAAAAACATCATAATACTAAAATCAATATATTTAAATGTTCTACTAACATAAAAAAAAACCATGATGTTAATAAAAAGTAAATCTTTAATTTTTAAATCTTCCGAAATTCTATACTATTTTAATTATTTAGTAATTAAAGTAATTAGTAACTTTTTTACTACTTATTAACTTTTTCTTCGGTAATTAGAAGTTTAGGGGATTACAATTATAAACGCAGTTGCTTTAGGAATAGGAATTTTCTATTTTTTGTATCAATATCTTTTATAACAAAAATTTAAAACTAAGTTTTCAAATATCTAGTGATTTGAATTTTAAATGATATGAATCAATCACAGCGAAGTATATTCTAAGACGCTGTTGAGCGCTAATTGTGTTGTTGATAATTAGTTTTACACTGTTGAAAAACTATGTACCTATATTCGATCATTAAATCATCAAATCAACAATTATGGCGAAATAAAACTGAAAGGCAGGTAAAAGATACCATTAAAGCAAAAGAACAACGCTAATTTAAAGGCATAATTGAAGAAGCTAATAACATTAAATACTTTGAAGAAGAAAAACCATTTAGTGCCAAAAAATAGAAAGTTTTAATAAATAACTATACTTAGAAAAATAATTTTTTTTTGTGTAATATTACATATACAATATTATATTATTACTATTATTTGTTTTTCATTTAATTTTCGTTTTAAACTATTAATACTATGAAAAAGTAAAATAAATCATAAATACTTATTCAACGCTTATATTAAAAGTGTTATACTTAAATATATTTATTATTTATAATTATTATACAGGTTCATTTAGATGCAAATATAAATCAAAACTTACAATAAAAATCATTTTTAACAGATATGAAGGTATACCATAAGCATAATACGTGCCTATTTCATTTAAATATATATTGCAAAAATGAGTAAAAAAAGTTTGTAAAATATTCAAGCTGTTGACAAAAATCTTAAGAATAGATCCTGCAGCACAAGCAGGGTCTATTCTACAGATTAAAAATATCAAAATCACAGCCTTCTTGTAAAGTTGTATATGTATAATAAATGGCTAAAGAGTAAATCGTATTAATTATTCAAAATTATAGCTATTAATTGGAAAATGTTCAAGTGATATTTATTCCGGAGCAGAGCTGGATTTAGAACAAGTGCCGTTCTAGGTCCTTTTTAAATATGCCGCCCCTACCCCAAGAAAAAAAAAAATCTTGTAATAATTTCTAATAAATTTATTTAATTTTAAAGAAATTAGGTCAATAGTCATTATAAACAAAACAAATAATTATCAATTCTAATTCGTCGTATGCGATGTGGATACACAATATCTCTAGTCAACTTCTATATATATTATATTAGTATCATAATTACTTTTAGGAATAACTTACATTATATACATAGGTAGGTATCTTATCTTTATAGTTCACATTACGATAAAATTGATTTCGTGTTGTTGACATTTTCAGTGTATTTTATACACAGATATCTATACTATAATATTAAATATTATTTATATTACTATTAAATATTATATAATATTAATTTACGCAGTTACATAAATGCATTAAGTATTTATATGATTTTTTTTTTATTTCTTATAAAATTTGCCGCCCTAGGCCCGGGCCTCACGAGCCTAGGCATAAATACGGTCCTGTTACAGAGTTTTATATTTTTCATTAATGTGTATCAATAAGCAAATATCTGCATATATAATCCATAAGGTTTTTAATTGAAGAAAAAAATTTCAAACATCGTTGATTTAATACCTAATAATATGATGTCAATACATTTTTCCTACTAGGTACATTATATTTTTTTCAGACAATTGCATAACCGAAATGTTATAAGAGAAAAAAATTTAATGGAGTACAAACTGAAAAGTTATATGTGTAAATATGTATGTATATATAAGCTATGTATATAGTTATAGAAACATGCTTAAGAAAAAATAAAACATTCAAAAATGTTCTCTGAGAGTTTTACCAAACTCACATAGTCAATAAAATAATTCGAGATCTCAACAGTTCAAAACAAAATAAATTTCAACATGGTATGAAAAAAAACACCCATTATATTCAGATTTTGTTAAAATTTACATTAAATCAGTCAAATCTAAGTAGATCAAGCGGTCGATTAATCAAACACTCAAATTATAGCGGAAAAATAATGTTTAATTATTTAATTATTTAGAACAAAATATGTGTATGCATTCTTAAGCAATTATGAAAATCACCGGTTATTGTATACGAAAAAGAAACAAAATTTACCAAAAGTAACCAAACAATTTAAATTAAATAATATTTCAAAGGATTAAAAAATCGTTATGAGAAAATGTTTAAATTTCATAATAATTATAATACTTTGTAGCTATTATAAATAATAATAAATAAATAATTTTCAAGTGATTAAAAAATCGTTAAGAAAAAATGTTCAAATTTCATAATAAACATAATACTTTGTAGCGATTATAAATAATAATAAATAAAAGTTATAATTTTCAAGTGTACGTACCTATATATGTATTATATATTTGTATGTTGTTCATGTATAATCGCCACAGTTCTTTAAATATGACTTTCTATTTACTTACAATATGACGTGTGATTATGTATATTTGTATTTTATTATTATTTGTATATTATGTATGTTATAATTTTTTCTTTAAAAGTGATCACTGATCACTTATACACAATATATTCATATTTATAAATGGGTCTTTCACCATAAATGAAAATATATTTAGCTAAATTATAAAAACAAAAAACATAATAGCCTATCCATTACCTAACCTTTGATATATAAAATGCTTAAGTTTAGATCATATATTTACTATTCAAAATTAGATAATCAGAAAATTTTCTAAAAAAATATTTTCAGTGATTGTGATTGAGATCAATAATTCAAAATACAATGAAAATAAGATAAAAAACTTAAAAAAAATAATATTAATTAGATGTTTTGAACAATCAGTTATATATTACTTTACAAAATTGTTTTGTGATTAATTGAATAGGTAATTTCGAAAAGACCATTTCTCTACACATTTTCAAAACTAGTTTTATGTGTTAGTAATAATAATGTATATTTCCTGCGAGACAGCCATATCATAGTTGGTTTTTTACAAGGGAATTAAATAATTCAACCCTTTTTCAATTTTTATCTAAATATAATTTTGATTTCTAAAAACAGTTTTTTACGCTTACTGACAAATTAAATTTTTTGGAGATATAGCCCTTTTCGAAATGACTGATTCATCAATTGTTTCTTAGTTGTAGGAATATAAATTCAAGAATAAAATCATTCTAAAAGAATAATTAAAAAAAAAATATTTTGATTTTGTAGATTCCGAGTATAATGATTGATGAATCAAAAGTAGTTATAAAGAACAATTTGTATTTAACTCATATATTATAGATATTAATTGATTATCTAATTTAACAATTATAAAAAAATATCATAAATACCAGACGATAAAATCGAGATAATATATTTATAAAAATAATACATAACAATTAAAATATATAATAAGATTTATCTTTAAATGCATATAATATTTTTTCCCCTTTTTTTTATTCTACTATCACGTTGGTCTTTCAGTCATTTTGAACTTTAATTCTCCATCTGGCGCATACATGAATGTTACTTTGTACTCCAACGGTTTGTGTAAAAATTCCAATTTGTACGATCGTATTAACTATAACAAACATAATGATATATTTAAATAACTCATACATTTATGACAAATCGAATTACTTAAATTAATTATAAAAATTAAAAAGTTTTCTACTTGATTTTATAATCTTGGTTTAGGTTAAGTTTAAAAATAATTCAATAATTTATTAAGAACTATACCAATTATGATCACTGTTTATTTTTATACATCAAGTATTAAATATGTATGTGTGTATATTGATATTTATTAGTAATTATTATTATTCATTTTCTAATCATTTTTTAATTAAAAACCCAGAAAAAATCTTATGTACAAAGATATTAATGACATATGTACCTTAGCTAAGAACACTTGCATCTCTAAGTCAGCAAATCTTCTTCCTAAACACATCCTTGGCCCATGTCCGTAAGGCAATGAAGCAAATGGATGCATGTAATCTGATGATTGTTTCATCCACCTCTCTGGTTTGAAATGCTTATGATCTGTTACGTATTCTTTCATATTGCCCGTTACAATTGTTGGAAATACTAATTGAATCTATATGAAAAAAAATAACACCAAAATTTATTTTATTAAAGTGTCCTAAAATTAAAACGTAACGAACACAAAATGATATCAATATAGGTATTATCATCCTGTACAAATATGATTTAAAATGTACGAAAGATATAGAAGGTTTTTTTAATGTTACAACTGAAATTATGTTAGAAAAAATTCATCCTCTAAAATTACGCAAGTTTTCAAGCATTGAAAAAAATGAAAATAATTAAAGTCATGCATGTAGTTTATTTTGATATACAATTGTAATAAATTGTATATTAATTAATTTATTATTATTTTTTTTAATTTTAGTCTGAAAAGATATCATATAAGTAATTTCAGGTTATTAAATTCATAATATTCTATGATAATACAGTATAATTAAGTAGGTAGGTAACCTGTGTCGAACTGTGTTACAATTATTATTTTTATTTCATTATTTTTATAACATTTTTTATTTTATTATTTTAATAATAATTGCTATTTTTATTTGGAATTTTGATTATAAACTTACTCCTTTTGGTATTCTATATCCACAAATCACCATATCTTTTTGTAGTGTTCTTCCATTACCAATCACAGTTGAATACATTCTAAAATATATTAATTCACTGAATACGGAAATTTCCAGTTATACAACCTTACCTCAGTACTTCTTTGATAAATGCTTTTAAATAAACCATTTTTTCCAGTTTACTTGCGTCAAGTTTATCATCTTTATTAGGTAAAATGTTTAACATTTCTTGATGAATTTTTTCTTGTTCTTCTGGTCTTGTAGCTATTTGATAAAGCATTGAGCATACGGCCATTGAAATCTAAATAAATAATATTGCATGACAAGCATTTATATTGAGTCAATTGGTTTAGACATTTTCTAATATCTAATAAGTTATTATTAATAATAATAATAAATATTAATAATAACAGAGCCGGTGACATTAGTGTCACTTAGTTAAGAATCGGTACTAACTAATAAATATTGCAATCAAGTGATTGCTGGATATCTTACGAATTCGAAACCCTTGGGAATTGAAGTATATTATTGAACATTGTCGAATACGTTTTTATAATTAATGACAACTAGCAGGAAATGTGTATGTTCTACAGTTCTACGATCATTGTCAGATGAAAATACAACTCGAACACTTACTTAAAATATTTTTCATATAATTTGAGTATCAACTTATATCAAAATTATTTTTCTAAATATTATAAATTTAAAGTCTAAAATTTTATCTCTAAACATTAATTTAGTGCGTAATTTATTATTTTGAGTACAACCAGTACAGGCGAGTGATTAAATTTTCATGCTCGCTGACAATTTCAAAAATAAAGGTATTTTTGTAGTAAGCAGATTTTATCTTTAGTTCATAATTCTTAGCTATATCAGGCACGTTGTCAAGGGGGGGCCTTAGAGGGCCTGGCTCCCTAAGAAAATTCAGTGGCCCCGAACTGGCCCCCTTCATTTTGATTTTTAAATATTATGGTGTTTAGTTATCCCAAACCGGCTAAATTCTGAATGTATATTCCATATGGGCGATACTGTAAATGTAATGTAAACTGTAATGTAAACTCCGCTAGAATGTCGGTTAAGATAAAAAGATAGTAAAAGGTCTAGGGTAAACTCCTCCAGTTTTTTTTTTGTTTACCTGCTCAGTGCTCATATTGCCACGTGCCTTCTCATAAATTTACATAGCGTTTTATTTACAATAATTTACAATATTATTTATTATTTATTAATTATTACATTATTAGCGTTACACTGTGCTAATTAATATGGTAAAATTAAAATGTTTTTAATTTTCTCAAATTTGTAACTGCGTCTGTTATCGGGAAGTAAATTTTTGTAGCATGAAAAACTTCATTCTACATCAACTGATGTTATTGGAGCATATTTGAAGAATGCAAGATCCTCAACCTTCAAATCTTTTTCTATTCCTTCCATAGTATCAAATTCACTGGAATGCATTTTCAAAATTTGTACCAAAGTTTTAAATTCTTTATTTTTTTCCATTACATTCTGAAATTTGTCGTAAATTTCTTTTCCCACTTTTCCATTAACCATTTTGAGGGTTTCTCTAGTATAATTGACAACATTAATTGATTCAAACAAAGTTAATCCAGATGATTCTAATTTAGTTATGTTGTCTGGTAAAATCTAATGTTGGACTAAATGAATGTTAAGTTTGGGCCTAAATTTGGTTCAGCCATAATGCTAATTCTTTTTTCGATTGAAACCGCGTCATCTGAGTTAAATTCTAAAAATATATTTTGTATAGTTGTAAAATTATCAGAGTTGTAAAATTCCGCCTCTAACCATGTTCCCCGACGTGTTATTATAGGCACTGGAGGTAGAGGAATACCAGAGAATTCTGTTTTAAAAATCTCTAAACGTGATGGTGCTTTCAAAAATACATTTTTAACGTTTTACACAAGTCTACAAATCTACATTATTGAATTTTCCACGAATTTTTTTCCGCTACTCTATGATGTGCATATGCAAGACAGGTGACGTGCACTATTTTTGAATAAAGCGCTTTAAACGAATTGGCAGCAATTATTCGCATATATATGGGGCGGCATCAGTAACAAATAAATGAACATCATCGTGACAAATGCCTTCTGGCCATAAAAGAAATATGGATCAAAAACTTTACTAATTGTGAAGTAATTTGTTTTATCTAACTCTTCAGACTTCAATAAATATAATTTACCCGGCGTATTTTTATAAAGAATACCAATAATCACGTTTGCTACGTAGCGGCCTTCGTAAGCTGTTATTTCATCTATAGAAACAAATATTTTTTTTACCAATGATATCATTCCTAATTTTTTTAATTGATTCTTCATAACAATCAGATAATAATTTTTGCGTAAAGTTGACTCTTCTGGTATTTCTTTATCTGTATATTTTGTTAAAAAATTACGAAATATTTTATTATTTACTTTGAGGAAAGGAATATTGGCTCCTAAAACGCTCTGCACATATCCATGTAAAATGATGATTTTTTACCGACCACATTGCAAATTAGTTGTGACTGAGTTTGTTTCCGTCGATCAGCTGTGCGGATATGTTTGGCTGTCTTCAAGTGTTGTTCGAAGGTAAAACGACGTTCAGATCCAACTTTAATTGCACACATTTTACAATACAAAACCGTACCATCCGTAGAAAAAACATAATTTCCAAACTCGTCTACAAAACTTTTAAGACGAATTGAACAAAACGATTTACATTTCGGCATTTTTAAATAAAAGTAAAAATAACTGCGGAAAAATATAAATGATAATAGGTACTTTTAACGACGGCATGGAAACATGGCGATTAAAATCGTATCAATGTCACTTAGTCGTCGCCACATACTCATGGCATGAAGTGTATACAAAATTCTATTATTAAATCGTTATCTAATAAATAGAGACCGGAATTTTATGCATTTGCATGTTCATATCGAGTGTATGCACTTATACAAGGATTCGAAATGTGGACGATTCCGAACCAACTGATTCCATAGATCAAATTTAATTTTGCATATAATGGCATATTTGAAGGATTGGGGCATATTTTTGCATAAGTGCATATTATGTATATATTTTTTAAAATCATAGTAAATAATCAAATTATTTCATGTTTATATTTTGGAAATTGAAATTTTCAATTACTATTAAAACGGTATAGAATTTTATTTTTTCGAGTTTAATACCGTGTTGATAAACTATTATCTGACAAATAAATTTTAAGGTTACTTCTTAAAGTTGTGTAAAAATTTAGTATTTATTTATTGATTACACTGCAAATTTGAAAAGTGATATACTGATTTAAATTCACCATGTCTTACCGTTTCATGTATTAGTGTAGTAGCATGACAATATTGACAATTTTATCATGTGTAGTAACTAGTAGTGGTGTACATATTATCACGTTTCATTTACGGTTTAGTGAAGTTTTTATTCTTATTTTGCGTAAATTAAAAACAATTTGAAAAAATATCTAAAATACGAAAAAATATTAAGTGTTTGATAAACCAGTGGATTGAATCATATAATAGAGACACTATTGTATTTACAACTGATGAAAACGTAGTCTATTGTCAGATATGCAATCGCCAAGTACCGTGTAATAAAAAATTTCAAATTACACATGTTCATACATCTTTTCATACTGATTCCTTGAAACGAAGTTTAAATAATAAAAAAAAAATGCTATTGGGAAATGTTTACAAATCTAATATCAATAATTTTAATGAAGATCTCTGTTTGAGATTAGTAGCTGCCAACATACCATGGTTTAAACTTCAAGTTCCACAATTTAAAGATTTCTTGCAAAAATACACGAATCAACATATACCAGACGAGAGTTTACTTCGAAAATCTTATCTCGAGCCATGTTAATAGAATAATAAAAAACATAAGAGAAAAAGTAGGGGATTCGTATATTTTTTAATTGTAGATGAAACAACAGATATTAATGGTACCTACATAGCTAATCTTTTAATAGGTACGTTAAGTAGTGAAAACTCTTTCAATCCCTTTTTAATTGCTAGTAAAAAACTAGAAAAAACAAATTATTCAACTATTGCACGTTTTGTCAATGATGGCTTAAGGATTTTGTGGCCAAGTGGTGGTAATGACGAAAAAGTTTTGCTATTATTATCAGATGCAGCCCCATATATGATAAAGGCAGGTAAAACATTATATGTATTTTTCCCCAACATGATACATGTTACATGCCTAGCGCATATGCTTCAAAGAATTGCTGAAAAAGTGAGAGAATTATTTCCAAATGTTAATACACTGGTAAATAATTTAAAAAAAGTGTTCTTAAAAGCTCCTCATCGTGTAGAAGTCTACAAAGATGTTTTGCCAAATGTAGCCTTACCACCAGAACCTATACTCACCAGGTGGGGTACTTGGATTGAAGCAGCCACCTTTTGTGCTGATAATTTTGAACAGCTAAAAATAATTATCATTGAAAAATTGAAAGAAAAAAATGTGGTCAGTATAAAAAAATGTGAAGATATGTTTAAGTTAGAGTCTGTTAAAACTGATCATACATATACTAAAACTAATTTTTTTATACTTGTTTAAAGTATTAAAAAATTAGAGTCATCTAATTTACCTTTGTTTGATGCGACAAAAATTGTTAATGAAACTATTTTAAACATGGAAATGGTGTCCGGTAATAATGGAAAAATTATTAAAGAGAAAGTTTCTGATTTAATACACAAAAATGGTGGTTTTGAAATATTGAAGCAAATATCAGATGTTATATCCGGGAAAAAAGAAAGTTTTTTACCCCCAAATTTTACACCCACGATGAGTACTTGTATGAAATATGCACCTATAACATCTGTGGACGTTGAACGGTCGTTTAGTACTTACAAAATTACATTAACTGAAAAAAGAACCAACATGACCCCAAAAAATATGGAAGTGTATATTGTAATTAATTGTTATGAAAACAAAAAATAATAGTTTTTTTATATTTAAATATTTTTTGATTTAATTTGATGTTGAAAGGTTCAACATTTCTATTTTATTATTTGTTTAAACTGTTTAAAAAACATATAATGATATTTTTTTTTTATACTTAAATATTTTGTTGATTTAATTTGATGTTGAAAGGTCCAACACTCCTAATTTTGTTATATTTGTTATGTTATAAATTTATTAAGTTTGTAGTTGATAAAGTAATATACATTTATAATGCATATTTGAGCATATTTTTCATTTATTTGTGCATATAATTCCGGTTTCTACTAATAAATATTCTGGACAAGCACAGTATAAAAATAAGTATAAAATAAGGAACATTATTTATATTTTACGTTAAATTGTTTTGAAATATGCGTTTATATTCTTAAAATCCAAAAATATGCATTTAAAATAAAAAATCACTAAATATACAAAAATATGCAAAATAAAAATAGCATTATTTTATTCAGTAGAACATAAATCAAATTTGTATCCAGATCTACAATAAATTGGATAAATAAAAAAAAATATGCAATTTCATAAACATCCTAGCCCTAGTAATAATATAAAATTAATTACTGGTCAACGAGACAATTTATTGGTTTTATTTAACAACTACAAATATAACCAAAATATAAAATATGCGTCAGGTGAAATAAAATGGAGGTATGATATTATTCATTTATTATTACTTATTACGTATTACTTTTAATAATATATCATATTAATTTTATACTTTATTTAAACAAGAAACTAAACCAAGCCCACACTAGGATGAGATTACTATACCTCCTAATTAATTATAACTCTACACTACAGATCAAATGTTCACTTTTAATATATACATCTATCATAAGACCGTTAATAACATACGAATGTCCTGTATGGACTGCTGTCTCCCAAACAAAAATGAAAAAACTTCAGACAATACAGAACAAATTCCTCAAGATAGCCCTTAAATCACCATGCGTAACAAACAGTAGTATTTTCCATAATGACACTGGAATTCCCTACCTGGATAGATGGATCCAAGACTTATTAAAAAAATTCCACCAACAACTAAAATCAGTCGGAGTCGCTCACTACGAAATCGGAAGACGAACAAAAAACCCCAGACTGAAACCTCGTCTCCCACAGAACATCTTCCTATCTCAAGAACCAACATCAAGATCATCTGAATCCGAACAAACGTAAACACACACGCAATATTCATTACTACAAAAAAAAAAAAAAAAATTACAGCTTTTATATTTATATTTAATTTATATCCTATATTTCATAACATACACATAGAATATAACACATAAGTTATGTGACATAACAAATCTTCAAATTGTATACATACATATTCAAAACTGTAAACTTCAACTTTATTTGTTATTTGTTAAAAACCTTGTAAAAACAAAAAAATTGTTGAAACAATAAAAGTTAATAAAAAAAAAAAATGTATACTAATACTAGATTTTCTTCACTGGCGGAATTTACATGTATTCAATTTTACCTGAATTTTTTTAGTGGCGGAGTTTACATGAACCCAATTTACCTGTTTTATTTTCTGGCGGAGTTAACAGTAAAAAAATGTACTTGTGGCGGAGTTTAAATGCGTCCATTCCATATAATTAACTATCGTATAACAAAAATCAAATTCTGAGATTTTATTTTATAAATATTCGCCACTTGACAATTTGAAATAAGACAATAGTAAGTGTATTAATAGATTGAAAACTAGGAATTCAAAATACGGATATCGAACTCACATTTGATAAACGCAACTACAAAAAGTAGCCAAAAAATGTTGACCCCCTTATAAAAATATGTCTGGTTACGTGCCTGGCCATAATGCCATCTAGTAGACATCTATTAATAAATACTTTGATTAATAATCTATTATAAAATTTTGTATTTTTGTGTATAATAATACTATATAGCATTCCAACACTAGCCTCACGCCGCACAGTGGGGAAATTGACATCAAAAGCTAGCAAAAATAGCATTTATCAAATTTTACTTATCTTATCGAATTATTATATATATATATATATATATCAATAAAGGAGTTCATACTGCATTGTTTACTGGTTTTGTGCACGTGTTGTAAAAATTTATTTAGTTACAGCAATCGTAATTTAAGTTCACCGTGTATTGCAGTGTAAAATCTAACAGAATAATATTATTTTAAATTTTAGTTTTTTCCAGTAACTAATATTATTTTTTCATTGAATTCAATTTATTATGGAACCAATAGCTATAGGTTAGTTACGTTACGTTTAATATATACGTTTTACCGAGTTATACATATAATATTTACATAAATAATTAATAATAATAATATATTTGTATCACAAAAATGATATATAGTTTAAGTTCACTTCCAAGGCTATCCAAGCTTTAAAAATTACAAAATATAATACTTAATAGAGTATTCTATCATCTTGTTAAAAAAAAATGTTGCCCATATTTGCCCCATTTTGTGTAAATAGATTCTGACTGTGATGACCTATACCAATTTCACTTGAAAAAATAGACCAATAAACGTTAGATATCAGTCCCATTAAATCTAATAACTGTTACCAAACTTTTTAAACACTTTATAGGTATATTCCTCTTTTATGGGAATACAGTAAATTTCTTAAAAACCCTTTAAATAATTAGTTACACTAAGACTCACCCTCCCTCCAAAAAACAAAAAAATTAGAGCAATTTTTTTCAAGTGAAATTAATTAATGGCTAATACCCACTTAGCCACCTCCTTAAACCCGCCCACGGTTTGGTGTATAATAATAAATAACATTAATATTATATGAATCTCTATCATAGGCGCAATAGGGTTTTTAGCACCCCTGAGTTCAAATGTAACACTGCTGTTTTTTTTTCAGATCTATATAATCTATAGTAATTACAGTTAAATACCATTTTATTTTATTTTCAGCAATCCCAGCATCCCCGATATTTGGACTTTAGTTGCGCACATGATCCGTTTTGTATACATTTATCATAATTGATTATTTTACGTAAGTTAAAATATTAATACATACCTATTAAATCTAATAAACATTTACAAACCGTATCTATTCCAACTAAAATAAGATCCAGAGCCAATACGTAGGCAGTTTTAGGATCGGATTCATTTGCCAAAATCCTCTCTACTAATGATAATTCATTTTCATTTACCAATTGCGATTTATTTTTCAATCTCATCATTGCGTCATTGATGTACTTCATACAAATTCTGTTTAATAATTAATATATTTCGATAAAAATTATGTTTAATAGCAGTTGCACACAAATAATAAACAATAATATTATAAATATAATTATAATCGGTTATATTATATACTATATAATATGTATTCTACTATCTAATAAAAGATTTCAGATCTATGTGCCGGATCTAGAGGGAGGCAAGTGAGTATGCTTGCCTCTGGCGCTTTTAAGTTTATGAAAAATCAAAAAAATCATGATCATCCTTCATATTTCCACTTACATAAGGGTGTTGAATTTTTATTAGCCCCGGGAGTCAAATTTTCTAGATTCGGCACTGTGTGTAGTTATAATTGTATAAAAGGGATTTCTTACTCGATAAAATAATCCATATTAGAAACGTATTTTGTCCATAGTGTAGATGGTAAATATCGCCAAAATGGATACTTCAGTTCCAATAAAGCAACGTTGCGGAGGGCATATTTTGCAGCATCAATTATTTTCTGCGGCTCCGAATCATGAGGTAAATCTGGTCTCAGACAACCTAATCTTGCATCTAATGCTACACGACCGATACATTCCAAAGCCCATTTATGGATTTCGTTATCAAAGTCGGCTGGCATTTCAGAATTTTCGTTTTTCATTTCCTGCATTCTATTACATTATGAATTATTTTTAACTGTAAAATGTATGCATTAATATTGTGTTTATTAACAATTAATTACCGTTTTATAAAGTAATCGGAAACCTCTTCGATTGGTTGAATGTATTTTTTAACAGTTTGCGGTTGTAGAACCGGCTTTTGAACTTTAGTTCTGAATTCTCTCCACGGTTCACCGTGTCTAAATATTCAACGAATGCAATGTAATTATATATTATATCCTAGGTTCATATTTTTGTATGTTTAATTTAACACTCACACTCCAACTACACCTGATAATCTTCCGAAAAATTGTCCTCGAACCTGACTTTTATATTTTACCAAACACGGCATGGAAGGTCTGAACGGCGTGTCGCCTTCTTGTCGGTATACTTTTTCTATTTCGTCAGCATCGTAAACAAATAATAAATCTGGTCGACCAACAAGATTGCCCATCTTGGCTATTTTCCCGTACTTTTTGTATAAAATATATGAAACGTTTGCCAAATCCGATATCTGATAGGGGCCTTGAGAATAATTAAAATAGGTTTAGTCGAGATACATTTTCCAATCATTTAATTTTACAATACCTATGACTGGTAACATTCTCCATGTATTTCCTATGATTGGCCATGGCGTGGGTCCTGGCACCTCATCATAAGATTTGGCTGCGATAATCTCATTAGTTACATTTACATTTACATTTACAGGTGATTCCTTGATGACAGACGAATGTGCAGTTGATCGCCACCTCGTTGAACAGATTTGAAATTGACGAATATTTTTCATAGTAAATTTCTGCTAACATTGGTTTAATATTTAATAGTGTTGATTTCAAAATTGTGTTGTATATTAGTTTTCAATTTTTATTAAAAAATATAATCATAAATTGTATGCATGATGTACATAAAATCTTATTAAAATCAAGCATTAAAAATAATATTATTTAAAGAGTAGATATCTATTAACTACTACTTTCACATTCAATATTATCATTATGTGTGTGTTTGATATTAAACGGTGAAAGGAAGATTTAAGGGTAACCATTAAAAATTATTTAAATAGTATACGTTGAAATATATTGTAACTTATTGTTTCCACTGAAATTTGACGATTATTTCAAATTGTAACTAAAATATGTCTTCGTGGAAAATGAATTATTACGTAAGAAAAAAAAATATCTTTAATTAATTCGAAATATTATTAACATTAAAAATAAATAAATAAACAATGTATTTTCAATACTAATTTATTTTGAAAAATTATTCAAAATATTGAACATGTAAGATTAAATGTTTATTCGATTGTGTACCTATATATAAAAAAATTAATTATTTTTAAATAAATAATAACGTATTATAGAGTTTTAAATTAAAATTAAAGTGTACCACGTGATTGTAATTTTTTCATAAGATTAAGGTCTTATTTATATTTCTATTTTATTTATTTTTACTTACTTTTAGAACAGTTGTATTGAAGTCCACGCCGTCCAGAATGCAATGATTATTTACTGACGAAAGAAGATGATGGGCACTGGACATGGTCAATTATACTGGATTCCGTTGAAATAGTGAAAGTTCTATTTCTTTTGTAGTGTGGCCAACATAAATGTATGTTTCGTAGGAAACAATTAGGGCACAACAGGTAGGTAATCTAGAACCCAATAATAATAATTATACATGTATAAATATGAATATTTAATGCACATAAGAACGGATGATAGTTCAAAAGTTTAAATTTGTACATGTGCAAGAAGAATATATTCAGTATTTTAGTATTTTGGTATTTTCTACGAAAATGTTTTATTTTATTTAGAAGAATTTAGATTTTAAATTCTACAGCGCCATAAAAAGTACAAATATTTTTAAAATAATTGAAAAGTAAGAAGTTATCATTTATTTTGTGTGGAGATTTTACACTATCGCGTATTTTGGAAAATTAAAAAAGCTCAATTCCTTATAAAAATAGCTCTAAGTGATCGGACAAAAGAAATTGCATAACATAATATAACGTCAGTTTAAATAAGTATATTTTATCCATAAGAAATGTGTTACAAGTATATACTGAAGAACAATATAAACTATTACATAAACTTTTTTATTTTTTATTTTTTATTTTTCTTTTGTCGAAAACATTATTGCAATGCAATTTATGATTTATTTATCTTTTCATTCACATCTCACATAATGTGTAATTAAACGATTATACACAATGACTTAAATCATTGTTCAACCTTATATTTTTTTTTGTATACAGTTATCACAAAATCATTAACTATTCCATTATAATAAACAATAATATGTGTTAAACTATTAATTATTCATCAATCATGGGAGCTATACCAATTGAGGTATCTATTCTTTATAATTCCAAAATAATTTTAAGAGTAAATATAAATTTTTTTTTAAATCTTATTTATCACGTGTTTCTATCTGGGTTTTATGGAAACTGTTCAGATCACAAGTACATAGATTATTATTTTTTAATCAGCTTATTATTATTATTATTAATTTTAATTATGTTTCATATTAACCCCTTCCCCTCCAAAATCAGAAAAAATAAATATTAAAAATCAATAATTTGTATTTTTATTCATACAAGAAATTAGTAGTCTTAGATTTAAATTAATATATTATATTGCTAACTATTATTTTAATTCATTATCAATCACTGACTGTAATGTTATAAAAAATACCTATCTCATTTTTCAAACTCCTCCCCCTCCCAAAAAAAAAAGAAGAAAATCCTGGATTCGTCACTGTTACCCAGTCTATAACCAAATATTATGTGGATATCACCAAAAATCAAAACTCATTAACAGAACACAAAATTGCCGATACTCATTGAAGTTTAATATTTAATTTAAAATCACTAATTAGTCCCCTTATCTTTCTTCTGTCAACAGCTTTACTACTATCAGAAGTATTTAAATTAAGAATAATCTAATTATATTCATTATCAAAGTCAATTATAAAATCAAATATCAATACTACTAATGTTATTAATACAAATAACAAATAAACATGTAGACATCATTATATAATTATAATTAGTTTAGATTAAAAGACTCTTAAACTTTTAATAGCACTGAGAGTAATGAAACATTTTAATTTACAATATATAAAAAAATAATAATATTATTTAAATACTAGCTTCTGTGTGCCTTGCTACGGGTGAAATTTGCTTAATATTTATATATTAATCAATTTAATTAATAATATGAATTATTAATATTAATAATATTCAAAACATTATTATGTAGGTATAATGTATCATGCAATACTACCACGGTTACTACTTGTGATAATTATTAACTTTTGATAATATACGGGTGGAAAATTGATACGCCTTCGGCGTCAAAGGCGTTCGCTATCTAGGAGACCCCCACCTAATTGTTTTCTTAAAAATACTACGGCACCATACTTACGGTACTATAGTGACAATCGATGCATGGTGTCAAACGTATAAAAACCAATATAATAAATATACAAAACATTTATATGTACATAAAAAAAATGAAATAGCAGAGGGCAAATCGCAGTGTAATTGAAAATAATCAAACATAATAATAGTACTGTTGCAAAGTTAAGTGTCTTCTCAACAATAGTTAAATATGTAAATTATCACTATATTTAATAGAATGGAATAGAATTTAAAAAGTGGTATAAATATGCATATAGATTATGATATTTCAATTACAGAATAAAATATACATTTATGATTACAAAAGCATTATATGTGTCTTCTTCCATAACTTAACTTACCGAAGGGACACTTTTATGAAAAGTATCTTAGATACAACAATTTATAAGTATCATAAACGCTAGAGAACTTGACATTTTTTTTAGATATGAAATTATCAAAGTAAAAAAACTTTCAAATACAGTACAGTCGGTTCAAAGTAAGAAGACCTAATGCATAAAAAGTATTTTTTCAATAATAAATAATGAATATATATACAAAGCGAGTCTGTAGACAAAAAACTATAAAAATGGAGTAAGACCTTCCTTGATGTTAACTGAAAAAAAAAAATTTGAGCGATAAGTGAATACTCTATAATAGGTGTGTATACATAAATGTTGGCGTTTGTTACGTTTTACACTATAATCATTCTCAGTGAAAAACGCATCCAAGAAAGACCACGTGGAGGTCGCCAACCCCTTTCTCACATTCAGAGAACATAAAAGTACTCATCGACAATATTTAAAAAAAATATACAGAATGAATATATAAAAACATAAATAATTTATGAAAGACAGAGTGTGGAAGTTTCTTGTAATCATAGCACATTTGTGCTTTTAAGCTTAAAAAATATGTGAAGATAATGTATACAAATATGAAACATAACATAATCAAAGAAAATATTTTTATCATTATATAAAGTCATATCAGTATGATACGGTTTAAATAAATAAACTATACCAAGATTTTTCTTATAATATTAGGAGAAAAGTGTAATAATAACCAAGCTCTTGGGTACAACATTACTACACTGGTGTTTGACCATTCGTTAATTCATTAATCTGCAACCCACTATGAGCAAAATAAACAATATATAGTTTAAGATATTTTACAAAGACATTTATATCATAGAGGAACTTGAGCGTTAAATATTGTATAAATACATACCAAGTTTTCTTTATTTTATAGCTGGGTTTGATTTGAATATTATCATTAGCACCAATAACACGTTGAATTCTATTCCATTCCAAAGAATAAAGTGCAACAAAAACATTCAACAGCTCTCTCCCTATATTATTTGGAAAAATTAATCAAATTGAATGTATTTAACATAATTTAAAGACACAAATGAATCATAGTCGAACGAAGGGCAACAGTACTACACTCATGTTCGAGCACTTGTTAATTAATTACTCTGCGAAACACTATGAGCCAAGTAAACAATACAGTTCAAGATATTTAAAAAAAAAACACTTGTATCATAATGGAATAAGAGTGTTAAAAATTGTAATCCGTACCACAATTTCTTTATTTTATAGCTGGGTTTGATTTGAATAGTATCAATAGAACCATTGACACACATCTATCGCACTAACACTATCTCCCTATATTATTTTAAAAAATAAATCAAATTGAATGAATTTAACATATTTAAAAAACAAATTTATAATTATTTAACATAATTAAAAGATACAATTAAAACATAGTCAAACAATAGACTTAATTAACAAATGTGAACAAAAGAATTATAAAAAGTGTTGCATATAATTCGATTTTTAAATTTTACAACTGTTTATGATAATAGAAATATCAGTAAAGTCAATCACATTCCTTCTCAATGAAAACATCCCATAGCTCTCCCCTAATATTTTATGGTAAATCAAAAAAAAAAAATGAATGTAATTAATAAGTTTTAAAAACACATTCAAAGAAAATAATTTACATTAATGCTAAAATATACTGGGTTTACTATTATCCTTATAATATCACATAAGTTTTAATTTATATTCATTTCCTTTCATCCAAGTGTAAAAACTGATACTATAAGATTTATTTATACAAACCGAAAATATAACATTCAACATATATAATTGAAAGAATGAGTTGAAAAATGCATGGCATACCATGTTTTCTTTAGTTTATAGTTGTGTTTGTTTTTATTAGTTAATCATTAGTACCGAAGTAGTAACTGCATTATTCCTTAACAAAGAAAATGTTTAATGAAAACATACAACAGACATCTCCCTATATAATGTGGAAATATAAATCAAATCGCATGTATTTAAAACAAATATATAATAATATAACATGATTTAAAGACGCAATATCAATGAAAACATCCAATAGATATCTTCTAATATTTTTTAGTAAAACATATAAAAATAAATGTGTAATTAATAAATATATTAAAAACACATTTAAAGCATATAGTACGTAGAAGGTAAAAATCACAATTGATTCACAGTCGAACGATGGACTTAATAAACATATGCGTCAACAATAGAATTATAAAAAGTATTGCATATAATTTGATTTTTAATTTTTATAACTGTTTGAAGTAATAAAAAAAATGATTTACAAAAAAATACTATAAG